AGTGTATAGGAACCCAATACATCACATACAATGCCATATTTGATATCAATTTGAATTCAGACGATCAAAAAGACATCCAATTTTGAATTGAAATGAAAGACTATGGAGGGTGTGGTTGTGGGCGCTGGGTGAATTGAAGATCTGTACTCACACTCACACCCACACTCACACGCACACCCCACACCCACATCCATATCCACACCCACACCCATCTTTTCATTGATTTCTAAGGGCTAAGTAATAATTCTTAACTTGATTTTAAGTGAGAATAAATGCTATACTGCTAGTATTTAGGTAATAGATCTAACTTGGAAAAAATGGTTGACACTGAACCGTTACTTTCGAGATCTCAAATCTACTCTTCTGAGCATGATACTCAAAAGAGAAAAAGCAAAATTAGTAGCAAGTAAGTGTAGGACAAGTGACGTAGTCTAAATATCGTAAAATGTGCTTGATTTATTTTAGCCTATTTAAACTACATCGACTTTTTCAATGCAAGAAGAGTGATGATGAATACGAGAATCTGGATGGTAATCGAAAAGATATTAACAAAGGAGAATCGATCAACTTCTTAGAGCCAGTACGTCTGTTTAAAAATATTTTATTCATTGAATTATGCGTTTTATTTCACCATAGTTTCGATTTGCTGATCGAATTGATCTCCTTTTAATTTGCATTGGCTTGATTTGTATCATACTGCAAGCTGTCTGCTTTGTTGCGATTTTCATTATTTTTGGTAGACTCACGGGAACATTTGTTGAAATGTCATTTTCTGAAAAATGTCCAGAAGTACAACGAAATTTGTCGATCACTAGAACAAGTAGCAATGAATGCCCATTCGGTATCAATCTAACTATATCGAGCTATGGTCAACTACAAAGGTTAACGACTGCTTGTTTTCTCTGGCTTATATTTGCTTATGTGTTTTTCGTTTATTTTAGGCTGTGCAAAAATGATAACTTTACAACATCTGCATCATCGGTTTCACCTCTATCTAGAGCTCGAATTCAAGCGACCAAATTTATTCGTTGGCTTGTAGGTAAATAGAAAAGACATAATGCATCGATCGATTAGGAAATGCTTTTATCTATTTTTGATACTTAGTAATTTCTTTTGCACAATTCGTGATCACATTTCTCGAATATTATACCTTCGCAGTGTCTGCTAAGAGACAGGCATGCCGTATTAGTGTGTGCATCTTTCAATCAATTATCCAGCGGGTATGTGAAAAAAATCAGATATGGATAATGTGCTGCAATAAATTACCGTTTCTCCAGTCAATTCAAAAATGTTTCTTTTATACGCTCAATACAGCTCTTACTCTAAAAATATCAGTTTATTATCCAAGTTCAAAACACTCATATTTTAGTACCGAACTACTTTAGGTTCGGTGAAATGAAAATTGTTCCATTGGTAGCCTCTGGATCTTTTCCTAATTCAGTGGATTTCATAAGGCTTCGTGAATTTAGCAGGAAATCTCCTATGAGCTCAATCGATTGGTTTGTGACTTCTTACATCATGGAATGAACCATTGTCACTTTTGTAGAATATCACAAGGTATCATAATATGTTGATAGAACTGCACTTAGTTAGGGTTGGCCAAAAGTTTTGATCCCAATGTTTAAATGACCCTACCAGATGATTTGACCTATTCAAAAATGAAAAACTAAATACTCCATATTATACAACTTCTTGAGGTACGTTTAACGGTATTTAGTAAATCCTGGTTTCATAAGACTTAAAAGGAACTAAAATCAATTGACTGACCGATGGCTACACACCCAGAGGTGAAAAGCAGATTTTGGCATCTAAAATCTTCTAAAACCTTAAAAACCTCGCAAAATCTTTCGAAAACTTCCAATCTTAAAATCTGATTTTTTCCCCTTACTACATACCCACATCCTCAATTTCCTCGTATCCAAGATAAGATGACTAATAATGCTACATATATGTGGTTGTCGCCTCTCAAAAACTCTACAAAGTAGTGTGCAGAAAAAATATTTTACAAATACTGTCGACTCATACCAAAGACAACAATGTTCAGTAAATTATTATGTTTAGATGTGAATGTGTAGTCGTTTATTAGTAAAATGACTCTAGTCTTTTCAAGTCTTATGAAAACAGGATTTACTATATACCATTCGATGCAATTCAACAAGTTCTAAAACATGTTAGATTTGGTTTTTGATTTTTGAATATGCCATCTTATCCGACAGAGTATTTAAAATAGCGAGATCAAAATTTTTGGTTAACCGTAAGTAGTTTCGTTGTCTATACAAAGGTTCTGTCTTTTTCTTGCAACGCCATCAATAGTTCCAAAGAAAAGCCAAATATTTCGCATCAGACACCGAAAACAAGTCGAGCGAGACGTTTTTAAAACGTGTCGAGTCGAAGTTGACTCGGGGAACTCGACTTTTTCGAAAATTTTCAGTAACTCTTTGACTTCTTTCTTGGTATTAGACGTCATTATTGTTTGACAAATTCTTATAATACAATATCCATTCATTGAAATATATCAGTCGAACAAAGTAATAGAATAGAGAGCTTCATGAACTGAGGTATTAAATAAACTAAAATGAAGAATTTACATTGACTTTCATTGTATTCAATATATCATTGTCTATTTAGAGATTAATTAGTCCACGATGAACCAATCACGAGTCTATATAGGTAATCAGTACATGCAACGTCTGACAGAATTGTTCTTATTCTTTTCGACTCCATGCTTGTTCAATGATCACACATCTGCTGTACAAATTTTAATCATTATTTTTTCGAGTATGTCGATCGATTGAACATCAATTCAGTGCAGCTGGACAGACTGTGACTCAGAGGCGCTCAAATTTTGATATTTCAGCGGTCAATAATTTGATTTTCTTGCGTTCTTTCGAGAACAACAAGCGATTAATCTAGCTAAAGTTTATTCTTTTGACTCATTCTTGTGAAGTTTGTTAACTTTGTCACTTAGTATTGTTATGAAATAAAATATGATTTTAAAAATTCGTTGCTTGAATCGAGGCTCAACAACTTGACTCATGTCGAGTCGAGTCGAATATTTTGTGACTCGTTTCTGTCCCTGTTTCGCATTACGTGTTTTACCTACTCGCTACTTCATCAACTATTTGAAGTTTTTTTATGTTTTACACGAAACAGTTGATAGCCGCATAGATCATTCGAAAGTTTCGTAGTTTTCTTAGAAAATTTGCAAACTTTTGATAAGTATTTATAAGTTTTGTATACTTCGTACGAAAATATATGCTTTTGTAAACTATCTAAAGTTTTTAAATTCTTTTTTTCTAAACACGATAGGTTCAGCATTAACTTCGCTATTTAACCCTTAAAAGCCGAATTTCCTTTTCAAAAAACATTGCGAAAATATCAATAAAACATGCAATAAGACTGTGTATACAAGACTATTTGTTTTCTTCGAAGCAGATGATATTATAGGTCGTAAAAAAGAGAAAAATCAATTCTGAGTAACCATCATACGAAACGATGAGCTTTTTACGAATTGTGACTTTTGAAATATCTTTTTCTTGATGAATACGAAAAGAATACTTGTTTTTTTATGTGATTTCAAGAGGCGCCTCATTCGACTACGGATAAAACTATCTCACAATGTTTTCAACGATCTATTGATGCACTATGACATGATGAAGGAAATGTCCCTTGGAAAGGACTTTCGGTCATAACGGGTGTGGATGGGTGTTGATTTTATTTTCAACATATTCCCATACATACTTCACACCCACCCACGCACCCACGTTCCCATTCACACCCACTCACACCTATCTAGAGCCACGCACATCCCCACATTCATACTGTAGTACGCTTCAACTCGGTTGCTGAGCTTCTTACTTTAAAAACAAAGACATTTAACAGTATCTTCAATAAAATTTAATCGAATTAATTAAATTAGAATATAGGAGTTTAAATTTTTATGTTATAGATGCTTATGACTTGTCTTCTTGATACTGAATAGCCACTTTCATGAGTTCTGGTGAATGTTCAGAATTGAAGAAAAACAGAGTGGTACATATATTGAACGGATAACTTATCATCTATTTTTTTACTGATGAAAATTGCGTACAATTCAAAGTCACGTATATATTTTGAAAGTTAGGGTTTTTCAAGTTTTTAATTAAACGAGAAAGCTGTTTAAATGAAATTTCTCAATATTTATGGAGCGCATTGCTAGTAAAAGCAAAACTGAAGAGACGCGTGTTCAAGATATTTTGCTATACCTGTCATATTGGTTCAATAACAAAAATAGCCAATAAAACTTGAGAATAGCCAGCTAGATAACAACTTTTCCTAGAAGAATCCTGTCGAGAATTTAGCATGAAGCACTTGTGGTAGAACAATCAGTAAACTTGTTATTCGGTAGTATAGATCAAACCGATTATTAGAACTTGCACGCTAAATTTATTTCGAAAGGAAAGGGATAGACACAATAACTTAGGAATAATGCCTATTTTGTTTCTTTTCAAATTTGCTGTTTTAGACCATTCCGTATTTTGATACACGTACGACGGGACAACTGTACACAAAACTGTCCGAGTATGTTTTCACATGTATTAACGATGCATTCATACGATAGCTTTTTCTCATAGAAACGTTGATACAATCGGAAGAGGCATCAGCTTCAATTTTGCGGTAATGCTTGAAGTGTCTCTAGCTGCTTTACTCAATATTATCGTAACTTTCTTTATTAATTGGAGATTAACCTTAATCCTGTCGTTCTTTTTACCATTGATCCTTGGTAGTTCTTATCTTTTTTCTAAAGTATGTATTTGCATTTTGTATTACTTTAGTTTTTATTATTTCTAATAGTTAATCATTCGCGAAACAGAGAACGAATTAAATATATATTCGAGAGCAGGAGAAGTTGCTCAAGAAGTATTCAGCTCTATTCGTACGGTGTTTTCATTTAATGGTAGCGAGTTTGAAAAAAAACGGTCAGTGAATATTTACAGCCTCAACTTACTTCGGATAATCTCATGAATGTTATTATCCCAATTGTTTACAGATATGAAAAAGAGTTGGCTGCGACTCAATTGAGTAGCGTACGCAAAAGTGTGGCGTACGGTCTTTATCTGGGCTGGGGCTATTTCACAACATATATAATCTATGCAATTGGTTTTATTTGTGGTCTATTACTTATACATCATGTAGAACGTCACAAAATCTCTGTAAGTGATGTCATTGTGGTAAGTTATTACTTGTTATATCTATAATAAATCAACTATCTTATGCTGCTGACTGTAAATAGGTAGTGATCAGCCTTGGAGAAAATATCACTTATGTTTACTTAATTGGGCCACTTTTACAGGCATTTTCGGAAGCACGAGCTGCAGCAATTGAAACGTTTCGCATCATTGATGAGGTAAAGATGAATATAGAACCATTTTAATTCTTGAATATATTCTCGCTAACTTCACATAATTTAGAAATCCGAAGCAAATATCAATGAAGATGAGATATGGGACGCTAAGGAATCAAAGCAAGAAGATATTGATATTAACGGCGATATTAAATTTAATGAGGTGAATTTCACCTATCCAGTTCGCCAAGATGTACAAATTTTAAAGAACCTATCACTAGTAGCTCGTGCTGGTGAAACGACTGCTTTAGTAGGCTCAAGTGGTTCTGGTAAGTTACATACAAAGAACATCTATATCGAAAATTTTATTGTGTCGGAAAATTATCAGGAAAGAGTACATGTATATCACTCTTACTTCGATTTTATGAAGCTTCGTCGGGTAGCATCACGATCAACGACCGATCCATCTGCGATCACAATCTCAAGAAACTTCGGCAACACATCGGAATCGTCAGTCAAGAGCCTGTAAGTTGTCTTCTTCCCTATTCTCTTTCAAAGTCATAATTTGAGTAGATTTTGTTTGCAACAAGTATCTACGAGAATATTCGTTATGGAAATGAAAATGCAACGAGAGCTGAAGTTGAAGAATCAGCAAAGCAAGCTAATGCGCACAATTTTATTATGCAACTACCTAATGTTTCTAATTGATAATTATATTTCTATATTTTTCTGATTGTGTATCTATTTTTTCTATAGAAATATGAGACACTAGTTGGGGAACGTGGTATTCAGTTAAGTGGTGGTGAAAAACAGCGAATAGCATTGGCTCGTGCTCTTATTAAGCACCCTTCTATCTTGTTGTTAGATGAAGCAACAAGTGCACTTGATAATGCCAGTGAAAAAATTGTTCAAGAAGCACTCGATCGGGCAAGTCAAGGTTGAAGCATTTTATGTTCTTTTTTATATTATCCTTATATCTTGATAGATCGTACAACTATTGTCATCGCTCATCGTTTGAGGACAATTCAAAATGCTCATAGGATTTATGTACTAGATAAAGGATGTGTGATTGAGCAAGGTACACACGCCACATTACTGGAAAAAGAAGGAGGTCGATATCGAGACATGATCAAATGCCAGATGACACAGGAACCAGATGATGACAATGAGATAGAAATAAGCAAAGAAGAAATCGAAAAAGAAAGAAAATCAAGTCTGTAGCTATTCTTGACGATATAGCTCTTACGATTGATATAATTGTGTAATGATATAGGTGAACGTTCTTATCTTCTTAGCGATAACGAAAATACTTCTGAAGCACAAGTATGCATTGGAATATAGTGGTTTTGAAGCACTGTTTTAAGTTTCTTAATTTTTTCAGAAGACAAAAACACCAACAAGTGAAAAAGTCATCTTTTGCAGATTGCTGTCTATGAACAGTTCCGAATGGATTACTATTCTTATTGGTTGTATAGCATGTCTTTTTGCCGGAGCGACTATGCCAGCCATTGCCATTTTACTTGTAAAGCTAGTCATGGTAATTCATTTTCAGTTGTTGCAAAAGTTCTTGGACAAATGCCAGACTCTGTTAAATTTAGCCATAAAACGACAGAAATTTTATTCGTTTTTGTTGTTAGATAGAGCGTGACTTCTACTCTGAGAGGACATGTCTCATAGACTTTTGTTCATACACTAGTAGCAAAACCAATTCGGTTTTCCAAAGCTGCTAAAAAACGTGCCGCGAATTTTTGCATTTTGTATTTGATTTATTCAAAAGAGAGTTTAATATGTTGCCTTAGATGCAAAATTGTAGACTGCTTTTTACACGTTATGTGCAAAATGCTATAAATTTTTACACATATACGAATCATCGATCAGAGTGATTGTTGTCGTTTATTGTTTGCCGAAAAAAACTAATTGCTGCTCTTTACTGGAAGCGGGTACATCAATGGCTCAGAGCCTTATCACGTTATATATCCTTCACTCGGAATTAAAACAAGATCGACTACAGCAGACCAAGTTTTTCCTAAACTATTCGCATATGCACAACAAACTGGTCAAACTCTTTGTTCTAATGAAATTGAATATCTGAAACTGTAAAACTTCTTGTAGCAGAATGTTTCGCAAACTATGCCGGCACTCTTTGAAGAAACTGAATTGCGGGAAAACAAAATCCGTTCGAGCTGAAAATTTTTTCTCTAAATAATGGTCGAACAGTTATACAATATCGAAGTCATTTTTTGCTCACAAGTACGTGTCGTTGTTGATATATGTTATCTGTTGACTGTTAAAATCTTTTACATCCTGCGTTTTATTGGTTCCATAAAAACGGAAATATGTTTTGCTACTAGTGTAAGAATAAAAATCTATGAAGCATGTCCATTCAGAGTAGAAGCCACACTTTATCTAACAAAAAAAGGAATCAACTTTCTGTCGCTTTCAGGCTAAATACAACAGAGTCTGACATTTGTGTAAGAACTTTTGCGATACCCGTTAATTATGATACATCTGTTTCCCTTAGACATTCAACAGCTGCTCCTATTCTACACAATTACGTGAAATGCTCATTTACGGCTTTGTTGCTGCAATGTTAGGTATTGTGACAATGGTCATCCGTTTTTTTCAAGTAAGAATAAGTAGGATCAAATTTATCTTGATTTGTCTTATGCACTTAAATAGTTCTGGAGCTTTGGTGTAGCCGGTTCGATTTTGACCTATCGTATTCGTGCTAAAGCATTTTCATGTTTTCTTCGTCAAGAAGTTGCTTATTTTGACCGAGAAGAAAATAATTCTAGTGCTATTTGCGCCCGTCTCTCATCTGATGCGTTGGCAGTTCAACAAATGACTGGAATACGATTAGGCGTCGTCTGTGAAATGATTGCCATGATGACTTTTGCTTTGATAATTGGCGTGTGTTTCAATTGGCAGATAACGTTGATTGTTTTTGCACTTCTTGTATTTAGCATTTTTTTTGCATACGTTTTCATTATTACTCAAGCACAAATGGTTAAAAAGTGTGAGCTATTCTCAGGACGGACAAGTTTGGTAAGATTGAATTCTTGATAATCAACTGCTAGACACTAGTCAACTCTGTGAAGCGTGGGTGCTCTACTAGTTGCATATATGACAGAGCATATAGGATCAATGTTGACTTCTCTTTCTTTCTAATAGCTTTTTGGCGAAGTCATTTACAACATGCGTACAGTAAAACAGTTGGCAATTGAGAAAACAATGTTACAACAATTTTCCAAGCTGATGTGCCAATCATCCAAGCAATTTCTTAAGTTTCTTTGATCTTTATTTTCCGCAATAATACTTCTTTAGACTTATTCGAAATTACTCAGTATTATTAGGATTTTCATATGCTTGTGTTTAGGGACCTGTTCCAGTTACTATAGCAGCTATTTATTGGCGTGCACTCGTCTTGATTGAAAATGGCAAAATGACAGCAGATAGCATAATCATGTAATAAAGAATAATCCTGCAATTTATAAAACCTTATCATAATGCTTACGGTTGTTTTAGAGTCTTTGCTTTCGGTACTTTTGCCGCGCTAGGTATTCGTACTATCGCGGGTCTGTAAGTAGCCAATACTTTCTTTTCATTCTTCAATGAGTACTATTCAGACTTGATTATGTGGGTTCTTCACTATCAGCTGCTCAAAATTTCTTTGATTTATTTGATCGTATACCAGCCATCGACAGCAGTTCAACAGAGGGTCAAAAACTAGTAAGTAGACATAATATTAAAAGACCTTGATGAATAGTGCACTCATGATGTATATATCTGAATGTAAAATGTGAGATATTTGGTCATCTATTGTTTAAGTCTCCTTACTATTCAAAAAATTACATAACCATATAGGTCTTTTCTAAACTGAAACTCAGTAATATTTAACAAACATGATATATGTAGACTGACTTTCGTGGTGAGATCGAATTCGACCGTGTCGATTTCTTCTATCCATCGCGGCCACAAACAATTATTTTGAAAAAGTTTTGTTTATCAATGAAACCTGGTAAGTAAAATTTGTGATTCAATGCCTGTGAATTATTTGTTGATTTCCTATTTAGGTCAAAATGTAGCACTTGTTGGTATGCATTTATTAATTTGCTTATTTCTATCGATTGAATATATTCTATTGCTATTTAGGTCAATCCGGTTGTGGCAAGTCAACAATTATTCAGCTCTTACAAAGATTCTATGACGTATCGCATGGTCAAGTGGTGAGTCATATGTTGTATTTCATGCAACTATTCTAATACTAATTTTCTCAATGCAATATAGCGCCTCGATAATGTAGATATTAGAGATATCAATATTAACTCGCTCCGCTCTTATTTCGGTCTTGTAAGCCAAGAGCCAATATTGTTCAATTTGACGATCGCAGAAAATATAGCCTATGCTCAAGAAAACATTTCCTTGGAAGCTATTATTGAAGCAGCTACGGAAGCCAACATTCATCAATTTATTCAGCAACTACCTATGGTAAGTATAAAAAAGAGGTACTCAACATTCATGTTTATCTATTATATCAGGGCTATGAAACGAAAGTGGGCATGAAAGGAAATTTATTGTCAGGTGGCGAAAAGCAACGTATTGCCATCGCTCGAGCTTTTCTTCGACAACCAAAAATATTACTCTTAGACGAAGCAACTAGCGCCATGGATGTATACAATGAACAAGTTTGTTTTATATTTTATCTTTTAATTAAAAACATCTTAATTCTTCGTAGATCGTGCAAAAAGTTCTTGAGCAAGCACGAGTAAAAGATCCAAATAGGACAACGCTCACAATTGCTCATCATATCTCAACGATTCGTTCATGCGATTCTATATGTGTACTTCACGCAGGACACTTGATTGAAAGCGGTCGTCACGAGGAGTTGATGCAACGGCAAGGAGCCTACTATAGAATTGTAACTTCAAACAGTTCCCAAAGTTAAAACTCAAATGATTATTACTTTTTTAACCGAAGACATTGTTTAGAGACCTATTATTGCTTTTTACAAAGTGACTACGCACGAAGAAATGGACAGTCTTCCCTAATGAAAATACTCATCAAGCGAGTACGACTTGCCAGCATGAGTACTCGGATTACTCGCTCGAGTAGTCGAGCATTTTTATGTATAATTATACTTTTCATGTACTCGGGCAAGTAGGGTGGGTGGGTGTGGGTGAATGTGGGTGGGTGTGGATGTGGGTGTGGGTGTGGGTGAGGGTGGGTGGGTGTGGGTGTGGATGTGGGTGTGGGGTGTGGGTGTGAGTGTGGGTGTGACTCTTCTCTTCTCCTACGATTATACCTACACCCACACATTAACATATCCATACCCACAGCCGCAGCCACACCCTTTGTAATCTAAAATCGCAATCGATTTTAACAAAGTGGTAAGTTGTCCTTTGTTTCACAGTCAATATGAAAAACTGTATTCTAATGCACAATTATTTATCGTCATTTAGAAAATAAAGTTAGAACGAATCTTCATTAATATGTTTAAGAAAATTTAATTTCATCCGAGAAGTTAATAGTTGAGCATGAAAAGCTGCTGGCCTTTTCCTTCTGAAAGTCACCATTTATCACAGTTGCATAAATGAATTTTCAGAAAAGAATAGAGGATAAAGTAGATAAGTCATGAAAAAAGCTTTTCTCTATTTTTTATTTTATTGTATCATTTTCCTTTATTGTACAACTTCACGAGATAAAAAAGCTTCCCACCGACTATTTTCAGAGCCGATACAAATAAAAATCAAGTCAAAACACTATTCTAATATGTTAAATCCAAAAAACTATAAGATCGAATATATCTAAAAGCGCAAACAGAAAAATTGAAACTAGATTGATTGGAGTATCACGTATCTATTATCAAAAAACACCTTTTAGAATACGTCAAATGCATTAAATTTTAGTTTACTACATAATATCTTAGTTATTTAGCTACTTGT